ATTATCTTTTTTGTTTACTAATGTTGGGAAAATTGTATGTTAAATTACTTGTTTGATCTGTAATTTTTAGTATTGTATGAAGTGACCACTATTTCAGTAGCATATTAAACACGCTTATTTACTATAAAATTCAAATTTGAAGGTGGAATTATATTGTCATTGGCTGCACTATCAATCGATACTATTTATCATAGGATAGACGCACACCACAGACAGTCTTCGACTTTGTGGTTTTTTCAGTTCATTTGTTATCTAATTAGTGCTTCATATAATGTTAGAATTATATTATTCTTATATATCTACCCACCTCTTTGTAATAGAAACTAACATCCTGTTTCTTCCAATGACGTTTTTCAATGCATCATACATTTCATCAGACTATTTCATTGGGAAAATCAATGTCAAAACTCCATATTTTTATACAAATTAACCAGCCAATAATGAAGTCGTTGTGTATTTATTAATAGTCAAAGTCAGGGTTGAACAAATTTGAATTTCTAATTGGATTATTGACCTGCCAGTGACTGAGTTCTTATGAGGATTTATAATTCGATGAGCAATGAATAACCTTGGAATTTGAAGAAGGTGATGTTTGTCTATTCGTTCAATTTATTCATTAGTTGATGTCAATCAGTTCTGAAGCACGTTATTATTTATATTTGATTATTCTCGCGTAAAACCTTGAGTGCTGAAAAAGAATTGGTCGAAATGACTTTGAAACGTCTTTCAGTATGATTTTCAATAATAACATTTGTGTTACCAGGTGGTCTGTAAGTAATTGTGGAAAGAAGGAAGATTTGCTTCATTTTCATAATAATTCTACTTTTTTTATTTATGTTAGGAAAGAAATAAAATGAAGTAACGTATATCCTTTAAACATATTCGATGAGGAAACGAACATTCAGATTCTTCGATATGAATCAGAATGTACAAATGAGTTGGTACACATTTTTGAAAATTTTTGTGAACGTGACTTTACACGTCGACAAGAATTTGGCAAATTTTGAGATTCACGAAATGAGCCACGAGGATCGCGACGAAAAGTACTTACGTTGGACAAACTGAGCGGGCTTTATTAGGTCGCTTCAAGAAACATGTTTCACATATTCGATACCGTAGACTAGTTGAGTGTCTCTCAACATTCTTTAGAATTACGATTATTGTAATATTAAATATTAGGATACAATCAAAGTGAAATAATAACTGATATTGAAAATTCTTTCAATGACATTCATTCACCAGAGGTATAAAGATAATAAGTAAAGGACTCAGGAATAATAGTTGACTCTATATTGATTTTCGATAAGCATATATTTTGTCGTTAGTATGAAGGTGGTTGATAATGTTTCATGGTGCAGTTCATTAGTTCGGACTTCCATTATCTATTATGATATAAAATGATTTGAAATCAGAGAAAGAATCGATAAAATAAAAAAGATTAGCTAAAAATAACGATTATATCAAGCAAAAAAACTAAAATTACAATGAAATAAACTACAAGCAATAATTAAAAATTGAACAGTTAATAAGAAATCAACATTAAAAATTGAAAGATTTCAAGCCAAGTCACTTCATGACGTTTCGATTGTTGGTATCCACAATCGTCTTCGGGTGATGACTGGACTTCCTCCGAGAGATAGTAATAATAATAATAATTGCGACTTTATTTTCCATTTTATATAATACATAATTATTTCCATCTTGAAATGCTAATTGTTGGCATAATAGGCGGAGTTCAGCTTGAAAAAAATGATATGACAATATTATTTGACTATTCAATTGAGCTGCTCTTCCACTCAACCTCACAAAGCGCTATATAACGAAAAAATAAATAAATAAAAAACATTCTTAACATTATTATCGAGGGGTGTTCTGTTTCTTCAATATAATTATTTTCAGATTCTCTTTAAACTTATCTAACTTCATCTCTTTCAAACTGTTCGGAATTTCATTGTAAATTTTTGAGATCTGATAACTGTAGGATCTTACATATTGTTGTGTTTTGTGCAATGGGGGTGTTGAAAGCCCTTTAAACCTCAAGTTCAATGTATGTACGTCAGTTCGGAATTTGATTTTATCATATAGATATTCTGTTGTTTTAGTTTTAATTATACTATGATATGAGCTTGCAGAGTGGAGGAACATCCGATTATCCATATTCATTCAGTTAATATATTTCAAAGTATGGGTAATGCTTTCATATTTACGAATACCGAAAATCAATCTAAAGCAGAAATTTTGTATTTTTTGTATTTTCTTTATATAAAAAACTGTGAGATTTGGACCATACAGACAATCTGCGAAATTAAAATTGGACAAAACTAAGCTCTCGCAAAGTATTGATTGTATTTTTCTTGATAAATATTGTCTACTACTGTATATCAATTTCAAATGTCCATTAGCTCTGCGAATTAGTTCATTCACATGTTTTTCAAAACGAAGATAACTATTTGGAGATCATTCGAGTGCTTTCACCTATCCCCTCGTTTTTCTCTCTCTCTTCGCTTCACCGGGAGCTGACCGTTTAGCGGTAGTTGGCCGTTTTCCGCTTGATTATGGGTTTCCATATGTTGTGTATCTCTACGCTAGCTTGGCTGAATACTTCTTTGAATTTTATCCTAAACCAGTGTTCCTTCTTGTGGGTGATTTAAGCTTGGAGCCATTTGGTGTTATGTTGATGAGTGCAAACATGCTCTGCTATTTCCGATTTGCTGGTTTCTCCTCGTTGTATGTGTTCGACAATGCGCACTTTCAATGACCTCTTAGTTTCACCTATGTAGGATTCTCCGCACTCGCAGGGTTTCTTGTAAATGCTGTTATTGAAATCGCAATCCGCGTTTGGGTGCCTGATTTTCGTGAGTGCTACGGATAGTGTTACCGGATCTGAAGCAGGTTCTGATGTTATACTTGGATTCAATTTTTCTTATCCTTTTCGACAATCCTCTGATGTAGAGAAGGACAAGTACTGGTTGTGATGGCTTCTCTTACTTAAGGCTCTTGCTATCTTTTAGCTGAAGTCTGCTCCACCATAACTTTGAAGTCCCCATTCCGTTCAAGATCATTTTTGATGTTGTCTGGTTGCTTCGCGAGACCTTCCTTTCTATTATAGAGCCCGAAAGCATAGTCTACTAGAGTCTCGATGATTCCTCTTTAAGTTGATTGATGAATGTTACTGAAGTTTCCTCCCATCAACAAACCGTTATTTCAACACCTCGACATGTGTTTTGATCACCAAGTGATCATCTTCAAGAGGAAAATCAATGGTTGGTGGTGGTTGGATTCCTGGTTCATATACTGACAGTATAGCGTAGAGCGAACTCTCGCCTAACGTTTAACTCCATCTTTATCTAGAAAGCGGAAAGAGAAAAGAGGGGATACGTGAAAGCACTCGAATGACCTATAAATAGTCATGTCTCTGAGAAATAAGTAAGACGATTGTCGATACTAACAATCGAAACGTCGTGAAATATTTCAAATTTCAATTTTAATTTCCTGTTAGTTGTTCGATTTTTATATACGGATATGGAGCCTTTTGTAGGATTCCAATATCAATACCTGTCATAAGCTTTCAAAGCTATGTGTCATAGGAAGGATCTATGAAGTAGGCATACATTGACCATATACACTTTTTATTTATAAAATAGACATAAAGGTCTAAATCCCCTCTTTTGTTTCAGAAGTTTGGCCATGAAGGGGTGGTTTGATGCTTTTCGATGTGATGGTGGTCCAACGCTCTACAACTTCAACAATAGAACAGCAGTGACTGGTGACGTCACAATTATCACATTCCTCGCCATTTTTACTACTCTTTACGTAGCATTCCTGATAATATTCTGTGGAATACGGAAGGAGGTGAGAGAAGTAATATTGAATAGGGAGGAGGTTTATCACTTCTAGATATTGGTTCGACTAATATTGACGAATAATTACTACTAATAGTTACAATATCCATTTCATATCATGAAATAAAGTGGAAATATATCCCTTTCAATTCAAAAATGAAGTACTTTTGCCATTTTAGCTTCATAACTGAATTGGAGGTCAATGATTCCATAAAATTTTCAGACGTTATCATTACTGAAAATTAATAAACAAAGCAATTTTTCACAAACCATCTTTCACGGAGAATATCATACATGATTTTGAGACACATCATAGAGTAGAAGCATTCAAAAGTACCAGGGTGTGATCCCAGAAGTATTTGGCCTGACCTAGGGATGGCGGTAGTTGTTTGAGAAATATCATTGTATTAGAAAGCGAACGTTTTTGGTGAATTTGTTGAAATGGAAAGAATTGGTCATCGTTATCTGGTACAATACTTTTATTTGACAGGTATCAGCTCAACCAATATAAAATCTAAACTGAATTCCACTCTAGCTGAGTCTTCTACCACAGTGAAGTATTGTGTAGCAGAGTTTTAATACCTAGCAAAAGCAATTATGATATAGTCTATCCATTCCCAATTGGAACGGCAATAAAAATAAGATTATAGTCATAAACATTTCTTGCCTGTGGCCCCTAGTCGCCCAGATAGTTAGTAAACGTGCTATCAAATGTAGTTGAGGAATAAAAGCTCGGCTAGCTGGACTGGCTGAATACAAAGTTTTTGTCCGTTTCACAATATTTCTTTATCAGTGCCGTGTATTCGTGGGGTTTGGTGAGGTAGTGAGTGGTTTTGCAAACCGATTTTAGAAAACTTTTTCAAGAGATCGATTACCTTAACACCAAACTGATATTTTTGCACTCGACGCGGGTTTCGCTAACAAGGTTAGCATCTTCAGTAGAAGCAAATTGATACTGAATCTAAAGACAAGGGTTAGTGGTTTATATACCTAAAGTTTTTTGGTCCAATGTGGACTTTGTTTGTTAAATGATGATTATCCTAATTGATTTTTCGGTAATTAACTAGTGGAACCACTACCTGCAAATTAATTTGTCAACAATAGATTAAAAAGCTTCTCCTGAAGATGCTAACCTTGTTAGCGAAACGCGCGTCGAGTGCAAAAATATCAGTTTAGTGTTAGCGTAATTGATCTCTAGAAAAAGTTTTCAACTTTTACACCAAATGTTCCAATCTGATCGTTTAAACCGATTTTTGTGAAAATCTTAGTGTTTTTGGGTACTTTCATCAATATAGCTTTCTGGAGACCTTTTGAAACAAATGATAACATTACGTGTGAGGAATCTGTGTCAATCGACAGGGATCCGGAATTTGAAAATAAGGACTTACATGTTCAAGTTCAGCGAGTAATTTTAAATATTCATGAATGCTTGAAGAAGGAAAACTGTCACACTTCACACAATGCTGTTGTGGATAGAATATGCGAGTTAACGAAACTATCGAGTTCGACAGTTCTTCGAGTCATTAAAATAGGGGATGTCATTGACCATGCAATGAAACAAAAACAATGGAATAAAAAATTCGCAAACGTTGATGGTGCTACAAAAAATGTGATTCGGCGAACAATTTCATGGTATATACCAAAAAAAATGAAGTACCAACCTTGGAAATGATTTGGTATAAATTACTCGACTATCCCGATTACAATTACAAATCTTCAGAAACTCTACGATGTGTCTTATTGTGTTGTGGTTTCAAATATAAAAAATTGAACAATCGGATGGTCATAATGGAATCGACACGAATTGTTCAACTCCGACAAGAATATTTGAGGCGAATGGAAAGCTACCGAGAATCCAGCAGACATATAATCTACCTCGACGAAACTTGGTTTGACACCCATGATGTTGTCAAATATGGCTGGGTAGACGAAACCAAGTATTGTGCTTTGAACATATCTTCTTCAAGGGGAAAACGTGTTATAATTTTGCATGCCGGGAATGAAAGTGGTTTCGTACCTAACGCTTTGCATCTGTCGGCGAAAAATATAAAAGATTCGTCTGCTGATTACAACGAAGATATGACTGCGGCTTTATTCGAAACCTGGTTCAGTGAGCAGCTTCTACCAAATATTCCTCCAAAGTCGGTTATTATTATGGATCACGCTTCGTATCATTCTCGGTTATTGACTACAATACCAAATAATAACACAAAAAAGCAGATATTGTTGATTTCATGCGAAATTATGACAGGGAAATACCCGAAAAGATTCCAACGAAAAAAGTATTACTGGCGACCATAAAACAACGTAATTTCAAGAAAAAGTATATTATTCGATTCGATGTGTGAAACACGTGGTCATATTCTCTTAAGTTTGCCTCCATAGTATTGTGTGTTCAGTTCAATTGAAATGGTTTGGGAAACAATGAAAGAAAGCTTGCGGACTTTGAATACTGTAGTGCTTGACAATATAAGGCGAGTGGTAAATGAAGTAGGTAATAGTGATGTGTGGAAGAACTGTGTGGCCCACGTTATAGAAGAAGAGAACAAATATCATGTGCAAAGTTCCATAAATCCGATCGTTATTCAACCCGATGATGATTCCACCTCATCCGAATATAGCGAAGAAGAATTTTGATTTTTCTAGCAATGTTGTTGGCCTCTATTATTTTGTAAATATATGTTTGACGAGAATTCGGTGTGATTATTTGTGTTTTCATTGTATTTTAGTTTTCGACTTGGATGAGTCGAGGCGGGAATTCCTTCTCTGTGCTGTTCCAATTAGTATTGGAAATACTTTAACATAAATTCTAATTTCGGGAAGAGACAGATTTCTTCAATTCAAAATTTTTTAAACGGCTTATCTGTCTCTCATACAATGTAAATTACGGCAAAACCGAGAGTGTTTGTATAAACACTATTCATCGGAGTGTTTTTAAAACTCAGATATATTTGTCACGTAGCTCAAGATGTAAATATGGGCACATCAATATCCCAGCATTGAAAGTTTTGTCAACTCAGTGAAATATGCTGTCAGTTGCACGTGGGCGACGGTTACAAAGAATGGTTTGAAAAACAGGGGGGACGATGAATCCGTGATTTTCTTCCTGGCCTTTTGGAAGGTTAAAGACAGAGAGTTCTGGGAGCTCTTCGTCTGAGGCAGCGGTCTTAGAGTGCTGCGAAAGTTTTTCGGGAAATAAGTCTGCGTGAATTTTGCGGAGGTTCGGAAACTTGGGAGTTTGAAGGGTCCTCTTGACGCTCGATCAACGGCGGTATTTTGTTTTGGGAGATAGTTTTCTTGGGTGAAATCTCAAATTTTTTTTATTCTTGAAAAACAGGTGGGTAGCGAGATTTTGGGTAGTCTTTTATTCTGGAGCGGAAATCGAGCAGTGTAGTTCAAATAGGGGACGAGCAGGAAAAAAGCAGCGGTGAGTTGAATATACATGACGTGTACTAACCATTTTATGATTTTGGGAAGGAGTTAGCTATAATAAATTTGTATACAGAGTGGACCTAATAATTGGCTTATAGATATTGAGCGGTCAGAAATCATCGGCCAAGTTAGAGTATTTCGTAACTCTCGTATATTATAGTTATTTCCGGCGAAGGCACAAATATTGAGTTTTATTTTTTAGGGTGTTTTTGTTCTTTGTCTATTTTGTTATACAGGGCTATTCAAATTCGTTTCTGTACATGGGGATCTCGTAAACGATAAGAGATATAGTGTCGGTTAAATTGTGGCAAAGTTGTGTATTTAAGAGACCTATTCAATGATATGAAGAAATAAAATATAGCTCTTTTGGTTCTGGAGATATATAGGAAAAACCAAAAAATCCCAAATTATTTTTTTGCCTATATCTTCTTTATTCGTAGACATATTGAAAATCAGTCCACATTTTGCTATTGGCACTTGATGTGGGCTCTCAGAATATATCCATGAATCTTTTATACAGGGTGTCATCTGAGTTGGGCCACCCCATCTTTGAATTTTTAAATACGGACCTGTATTTTTTGTTGTAGTTTTTGGATTGTAGACGTTCACTTCATACTGAGAAATTAAATTAAATTTTATATTTCTGGATGTTTCGGTAATATTCGATTATAATTGTGTGAATTATTCACTTTTAAATTACGGCCCTGGAAATTGGTTGACTGAGTCGAATAAAAACATATTAGCAACTTTTACGTCTCCCTATGTATCGTTTTTCGAGAGTTTTTTTTCATTTTTAGGTACCTATTCATATTTTTGGCAATGCTCTGAGCGTTTTCTACAATGAACTTTGAATAAGAAATGATTATTTGAAAGATATCTACATCAAAAATATATTATATGTGCTTTAATAAGCAGAAAAAGAAATGATAGCAATAATAACATCCGAAACGAACACAGATTTTCAATATGTCTGCGAATAAAGAAGATATAGGCAAAAACATTATTTGGGATTTTTTTGTTTTTCGTGAATATCTCCAGAACCAAAAGAGCTATATTCGATTTCTTCACATCATTGAATAGGTCTCTGAAATACGCAACTTTGCCATAATTTAACCGACACTCTATCTCTTATCGTTTACGAGATACCCATGTACAGAAACGAATTTGAATAGCCCTGTAAAATCTTTTTTTCTTTATTTTCTTTTTTATTGATTATAGTATTTTCAAAGCATACTTATATTCCAAAATCTACTATAGTAACCTCTTGGAAGGAAGTGGCTGCAAATTTTTAAATCTTCCCTTTCTGCAACTAAAGACCTCCTCCTAGCGTAGGAGACGGAATTCAAGACTCTTTCGGATTTGCCCAACATCCAAAATTCGAAGTGAAGAAATTCGTATCTGGTGACAGCAGCTACCAAATTCCATTTGAATAGAACAAACACGGCAATAGCGAAAGGGTTACCAAAGGTTGATAGACGGTTAATTACGTATTATTTCACTGGTAACTCAGTTATAAACCCGTAGATGTTTCAGTGGGATACGTATATATAATAACAATAGTAAAACCGTTCCGGATTT